GCTTGTCATTCCGGGCTCTCACACCCCTTTGCCTGACAGAACAGCCCCTCCACTCCCTCACCCTCCTCCCCGGCTGGCGATGGCGGTGGTGGTGCCGTCTTCGGCGCCACGGGAGGGAAGGGGGTAGTGGGCGGGGGGGATGGTGGCTGTTTTTGGACCTTGCTCATCAAGGCCTTTAACTGGTAAATTTTCTGGCGGCTGTAACCAAACTTGCTCGGATCCTGGACGACACGCCGGGCCGCACTCACGAAGTCCCCCCTGCTGGGGAAGCTGTCCTGCACCCGGATGTTGCTCCTCCCGTACGACCATCTCAGGAACCCGAGAAGGTAGTCGGGGGAGCACCCCATCCTGGGCATCGGAGGCCAGCTCCTCGGCCTCTCCGTCCCTCCCTTCGCTCATCTCTTGCGCCTCAGCGCCAGATTCGCTTGTCATGTCGGCGTGGGCCCCTCCTGCCCCCACCGCCAAACCGTCTGGGGCCAGGGCCTCACTGGGCTCGATCTCAAGCCCAGGAAGCTCCCTCCCCTCAAGTTCCCTAGTCACCTCCTCCCCCCCCCTCTCTCGTCGGGACGGGCGAAGAGGTGCTCCCCGGCGCCGACGCCGCGCCGCTCGGCACACCAGTGTCTCCGGTGGCGGCGGTCAGCGTCACCTCTCCTCGCTGCGTCACCTCTCCTCGCTGCGTCGGGGCAAGCGAGGCCGGGTCCGGCTGTTGCGCTCCCTCGGTCGCCGCCGCCGCCGCTTGCACATCGCCGCTGGCCCCCGTGGCCTCCCCCCACCCCCTTTGCCGGAGAGGGGGGGGGCAGCAGCCTCAATTTGCCCATTATTCCCTTCACCCGGTCGGCCTCCTGCCGGCTGAAACTGTCCCCGTGTGGATCCTGGATCACCATCCGTGCCACTCTCACAAAGGAGCCCCGATCGGGGAAAGCTCTCGCACGCCTCCCCTTTTTGATTCCTTTTTATTATTTTATTATTTTATTATTTCCCTTCTTACGTGACTTTACCGAAAGAACCAAGAAGATGAACTGTTCCTGTCTCATCCTGGGACGATGTCCCTACCCTATCTCATCTCGCCGGCCCAGCTTTAGCCTCTGTAGTTGGCATGGGCTCTTCCTCGCCCTAAGAGTCCGAGGAAGGATCAAGGCAGAGATGCAGTTTCCCCAGCTGCTGCATCACCCTCCGAGGCACAGGCCTGTCCCAGCCCCAGGCTGGCGAGTCTATAGAGCAGAGGCCTGACCAAGGTGACCCACAGCCGCACAGCTAAAACACTTCACAGTGTCAGTCGTGGCAAAGGCGGTACGATTACATCCATTGGTGGTGAATTTCAAGCCAAGGTTGTGAGGATCGTGAAGACTTGCCTCTCCCTACAAGGCATGGGGCCTGAGCAGGCCCCAAGCCTGAGCAGGCCCCAAAGCCTGAGGCCTGCAGCCCCTCTCTCTAACTCTCCCCCTCTCTCTAACTCTCCCCTCTCTCTAACTCTCCCCCTCTCTCTAACTCTCCCCCCCTACCACCGACATCACCTCTCCCCCCGTCCCCGTGTAGGACTGTGAGCCGTACGACCGAGGGCAGGTGTTGGGCAGCAACCTGCTGATCCCTCGCGTGGGAGTGGCCGACCAGGGCAACTACTCGTGCGTGGCCGACTTCCGCCGCTTCAACCGCAGGTGGCGCGTCTCGCGCACGCGCCGCGTCCGCGTCTTCAGTGAGTGCCCCATGGGAGGGAGAGGTGGGGGGGGGGAGTTAGATTGATGGCCTTAATCTAAGTTTTCTTGTGGTTGTTGTTGTTCTTCTTCCATTCTACGTAAAGTCACGTAGAATAGAAATAATAAAATAATAAAAATAAAACATAATAAAATACAATAATTCTCACGACGTTTCGGCCACACCGCAAGCAGCCTGTCCACAGGTGAAGAACAGGTCTGTCGAGAAGACAGAGTCTGAATGACACACCCCAGGCTTGGAGCGTCTATTTAAGCTGCTGGGTTCGAGGGGGAAGAGCGCTGTTTGACTTGCATTCTTGCACACAGTGTTGGTGTACGGTGATTTTTCTGCAATATTTTGCCGTCTTTTCTTGGATTTTCTGTTTGCACATAGTCACTTTAAGATGTGTTGTTGTTCATGTTTTCTGTTTGTTGCGGTTGCACCTGATTCAAGAGCCGAATGGCTCACAGGGCTACACCTAATACTTGAACTTGAATAACGCGAAGGGCGCGCGGGTTATAACCCACAACCTGTACACCAGGCGAGGTAGTCAACATCTCCTAGCCACCTTGATGATGATGATGAGAGAGAAACAGACTCCAAATATACAGCAGCAGCAGGCATCGTCAGGGTCGGGATCGAACCCACGACCTCCTGTACACCAGGCGAGGTAGTCAACATCTCCTAGCCACCTTGATGATGATGATGAGAGAACGCAGACTCCAAATATACAGCAGCAGCAGGCATCGTCAGGGTCGGGATCGAACCCACGACCTCCTGTACACCAGGCGAGGTAATCAACATCTCCTAGCCACCGCGATGATGATGATGAGAGACGCAGACTCCAAATACACAGCAGCAGCAGGCATCGTCAGGGTCGGGATCGAACCCACGACCTCCTGTACAGCAGGCGAGGTAGTTAACATATCCACTACACCGGTTAGTGCTGTACTAGTGTAACATTCTTGAAGGAGATGGAGACTTCTTAGAGGCCACACGCTTTTATTCACCAATACTTACTACACCTAACACACAAGGGGTATACGGTCCCCGTACCCGCTATCCTGAGGAGCTACAGCCTCCGGACTTGCCGGCTATCTCCCCCGCTAGCCTAGCGTCCTCCGGCTGGGACCTAGGGGAGGCACACTGACCCACCGCTGGCCCGGCGGGTCCCCAACCTCTGGTCGCTCGAGACCTTCGTCCTCACAAGGGCGGGAAGGCTGGGAGCCAGGGCCCTATCCAGGACCTATCTCCCCTGACCACTGGTGACTCTGAGCCCCAGACCTGACAAGGGCTGGAAGGCTTGGTCCAGGGTTCTAGCTGTCTTCAGCCGACTTGGGTCTTCGTGTAGCAGAACTAACCAAGACCTCTCAGCAGCTCCAGCTTTTATACCTGTTCGTGGCCGGGTTAACCAATCCCCGGCCACCTCTTGGACCCCTCCGATTGGTCCTTCCCAATCTGGCGTTTGGATCCTACCTCACCCCATTTGACCCTAACTGTTTGATTGAGCGGGAAAACCTTGTTTACCAACTGCTCTCTCACAGCTTGCGAACAGCGAGCAGTTATCACCACTACACTAGTAACACATTGGCACGATTCTGTTGACGTGACACACCCCTTGCCAATTGGCTGTGTCGGGTGGTGGCGGGTTTAACGACACAACATTAATACTCGCGCGATCTTAAACAACAACCACAACAACAACCTTTGTCATGGATAACTTGGGTCGGGAAAGCCTCCTACTACTACTACAACTACTACTACTCCTACTACTACTACTACAACTACTACTACTACTCCTACTACTACTCCTACAACTACTACAACTACTCCTACTACTACTACTACTACAACTACTACTACTCCTACTACTACTCCTACAACTACTACTACTACTCCTACTACTACTCCTACAACTACTACTACTCCTACTACTACTCCTACAACTACTACTACTACTCCTACTACTACTACTACAACTACTACTACTCCTACTACTACTCCTACAACTACTACTACTACTCCTACTACTACTACTCCTGCAACTACTACTACTCCTACTACTACTCCTACAACTACTACTACTACTCCTACTACTACTACTACAACTACTACTACTCCTACTACTACTCCTACAACTACTACTAGTACTCCTACTACTACTACTACTCCTACTACTACTACTCCTACAACTACTACTAGTACTCCTACTACTACTACTCCTACTACTCCTACAACTACTACTACTACTCCTACTACTACTACTACTCCTACTACTACTACTCCTACAACTACTACTAGTACTCCTACAACTACTACTCCTACTACTACAAATACTACTACTACGTCTACTGCTACGAGTTAAACAAGTCGACGTTGCCGACCCACCGCTGTCCCCCCTCTCCCCCCCTCCCCCCCCTCTCTCTCTCCCCTCTCTCTCCCCCCTCTCTCCCCCTCTCCCCCCTCTCCCCCCCTCTCTCCCCCCTCTCCCCCCCCTCTCCCCCCCCCTCTCCCCCCCTCTCTCTCCCCCCTCTCCCCCCCCTCTCCCCCCCCTCTCCCCCCCTCTCCCTCCCCCTCTCCCCCCCTCTCTCCCCCCTCTCTCCCCCCTCTCTCCCCCTCTCTCCCCCCTCTCTCCCCCCATCTCTCCCCCCTCTCCCCCCCCTCTCCCCCCCCCTCTCCCCCCCTCTCTCCCCCCTCTCCCCCCCCTCTCCCCCCCCCCTCTCCCCCCTCTCTCCCCCCTCTCCCCCCCTCTCTCCCCCTTTGCCTCTCCCCCCTCTCTCCCCCTTTGCCTCTCCCCCCTCTCTCCCCCTTTGCCTCTCCCCCCTCTCTCCCCCCTCTCTCCCCTCTCTCCCCCTCTCTCCCCCTCTCTTCCCCCCCTCTCTCCCCCTCTCTCCCCCCTCTCTCCCCCCTCTCTCCCCCCCTCTCTCCCCCCTCTCTCCCCCCCTCTCCTCCCCCTCTCTCCCCCCCCACTCTCTCCCCCCTCTCTCCCCCCCCTCTCTCCCCCCTCTCTCCCCCCTCTCTCCCCCCTTCCCCCCTCTCTCCCCCTCTCTCCCCCCTCTCTCCCCTCTCCCCCTCTCCCCCCCCTCCCCCCTCTCCCCCCCCTCCCCCCTCTCCCCCCCTCTCTCCCCCCTCTCTCCCCCCTCTCTCCCCCCCTCTCCCCCCCTCTCTCTCCCCCCCTCTGCTCCCCCCTCTCTCCCCCTCTCTCCCCCCTCTCTCCCCCTCTCCTCCCCCCTTTCTTCCCCCCCTCTCTCCCCCCTCTCTCCCCCCTCTCTCCCCCCTCTCTCCCCCCTCTCCCCCCCTCTCCCCCCTCTCCCCCCCTCTCCCCCCTCTCTCCCCCCTCTCTCCCCCCTCTCTCCCCCTCTCTCCCCTAGTAGTTCCCCCCAACGAGAAACCTCCCACTGTGCTGCTCCCTTTGAAGAACACGACCGTGGAAGCCGAGATCGGTGAGTAGCCCTGCCTCCATGGGTCTCTGTGGGAGTCTGTGGGTCTCTGTGCGAGTCTGTGGGTCTCTGTGTGAGTCTGTAGGTCTTGGTGTGAGTCTGTGGGACTGTGTGTGAATCTCTGGGTCTCTGTGCGAGTCTGTGGGTCTCTGTGTGAGTTTGTGGGTCTCTGTGTGAGTCTGTAGGTCTTGGTGTGAGTCTGTGGGACTGTGTGTGAATCTCTGGGTCTCTGTGGGAGTCTGTGGGTCTCTGTGCGAGTTTGTGGGTCTCTGTGCGAGTCTGTGGGTCTCTGTGGGAGTCTGTGGGTCTCTGTGTGAGTCTGTGGGTCTCTGTGTGAGTCTGTAGGTCTTTGTGTGAGTCTGTGGGTCTCTGTGCGAGTCTGTGGGTCTCTGTGGGAGTCTGTGGGTCTCTGTGGGAGTCTGTGGGTCTCTGTGCGAGTTTGTGGGTCTCTGTGCGAGTCTGTGGGTCCCTGTGGGAGTCTGTGGGTCTCTGTGTGAGTCTGTGGGTCTCTGTGTGAGTCTGTAGGTCTCTGTGTGAGTCTGTGGGTCTCTGTGCGAGTTTGTGGGTCTCTGTGCGAGTCTGTGGGTCTCTGTGGGAGTCTGTGGGTCTCTGTGGGAGTCTGTGGGTCTCTGTGCGAGTTTGTGGGTCTCTGTGCGAGTCTGTGGGTCTCTGTGGGAGTCTGTGGGTCTCTATGTGAATCTGTGGGTCTCTGTGTGAGTCTGTAGGTCTCTGTGTGAGTCTGTGGGTCTCTGTGTGAGTCTGTAGGTCTCTGTGTGAGTCTGTAGGTCTCTGTGTGAGTCTGTAGGTCTCTGTGTGAGTCTGTGGGTCTCTGTGTGAGTCTGTAGGTCTCTGTGTGAGTCTGTAGGTCTCTGTGTGAGTCTGTGGGTCTCTGTGTGAGTCTGTAGGTCTCTGTGTGAGTCTGTGGGTCTCTGTGTGAGTCTGTGGGTCTCTGTGGGTCTCTATGGGAGTCTGTGGGTCTCTGTGGGAGTATGTTTGTCCGTTTTCTGTCCGTCTGCTACAGCAGAGGTGTAGGGAATTCCAACAAGACCTACATCTCTGCTTTATTGACCTGATCAATGCCTATTATACCATCAGTCGGCCTGGGGTCTGGGTTGTAGGAGGCACAGGTGATGCATCAGCCAGTCATCTCAGTCATCTCAGTCAGTCGACCCGTGGCACCTGCTGGGTCTGCCCCGTGACCTCCTGCCAGCGGGCGTTCGACACTTCACGTGGCCTCAACGTGCACATGGCCTGGCACAAGCGTCGTGGTGACGTCACCGCCACTTAGTGGCGAATGGCGGTTGTTGTTGTTGTACCTGTATGTGTGTGTGTACCTGTGCGTGTGTGTGCCTGTGCGTGTGTGTGTACCTGTGTGTGTGTACTTGTGTGTGTGTGTGTACCTGTGTGTGTGTACCTGTGTGTGTGTACCTGTGTGTGTGTGAACGTGTGTGTACCTGTGTGTGTGTGTACGTGTGTGTACCTGTGTGTGTACCTGTGTGTACCTGTGTGTGTACCTGTGTGTGTGTACCTGTGTGTGTGTACCTGTGTGTGTGTACCTGTGTGTGTGTGTACGTGTGTGTACCTGTGTGTGTGTGTGTACCTGTGTGTACCTGTGTGTGTACCTGTGTGTGTGTACCTGTGTGTGTGTACGTGTGTGTACCTGTGTGTGTACCTGTGTGTGTGTACCTGTGTGTGTGTGTACCTGTGTGCATGTGTGTGTGTGTACCTGTGTGCGTGTGTGTGTGTGTACCTGTGTGTATGTACCTGTGTGTGTACCTGAAGCAGTATGTGTGTGTGTACCTGTGCGTGTGTGTGCCTGTGCGTGTGTGTGTACCTGTGTGTGTGTACTTGTGTGTGTGTGTGTGTACCTGTGTATGTGTACCTGTGTGTGTGTGAACGTGTGTGTACCTGTGTGTGTGTGTACCTGTGTGTACCTGTGTGTGTACCTGTGTGTGTACCTGTGTGTGTACCTGTGTGTGTGTACCTGTGTGTGTGCACGTGTGTGTACCTGTGTGTGTGTGTACGTGTGTGTACCTGTGTGTGTGTGTACCTGTGTGTGTGTGTACCTGTGTGTGTACCTGTGTGTGTGTGACCTGTGTGTGTGTGTACCTGTGTGTGTGTGTACGTGCGTGTACCTGTGTGTGTGTGTACCTGTGTGTGTGTACCTGTGTGTGTGTACCTGTGTGTGTGTACCTGTGTGTGTACCTGTGTGTGTACCTGTGTGTGTGTACCTGTGTGTGTGTACCTGTGTGTGTACCTGTGTGTGTGTGTACGTGTGTGTGTATCTGTGTGTGTACCTGTGTGTGTGTGTACATGTGTGTGTGTGTACCTGTGTGTGTGTGTACGTGTGTGTACCTGTGTGTGTGTGTGTACCTGTGTGTGTGTGTGTACCTGTGTGTGTGTTGTACCTGTGTGTGTCTGTGTGTGTACCTGTGTGTGTTGTACCTGTGTGTGTGTGTGTACCTGTGTGTGTGTGTACCTGTGTGTGTGTGTACCTGTGCGTGTACCTGTGTGTGTACCTGTGTGTGTGTGTACGTGTGTGTGTATCTGTGTGTGTACCTGTGTGTGTGTGTACCTGTGTGTGTGTGTACCTGTGTGTGTGTGTACCTGTGTGTGTACCTGTGTGTGTGTGTGTGTACCTGAAGCAGTGTGTGTGTGTGTACCTGTGTGTGTGTGTGTGTACCTGTGTGTGTGTACCTGTGTGTGTGTGTGTACCTGTGTGTGTGTGTACGTGTGTGTACCTGTGTGCCTACCTGTGTGTGTGTGTACCTGTGTGTGTGTGTGCCTGTGTGTGTGTGTGCCTGTGTGTGTGTACGCGTGTGTGTATGTACCTGTGTGTGTGTGTACCTGTGTGTGTGTGTACCTGTGTGCATGTGTGTGTGTGTACCTGTGTGCGTGTGTGTGTGTGTACCTGTGTGTGTGTGTGTGTGTACCTGTGTGTGTACCTGTATGTGTGTGTGTACCTGTGCGTGTGTGTGCCTGTGTGTGTGTGTGTACCTGTGTGTGTACTTGTGTGTGTGTGTGTGTACCTGTGTGTGTGTACCTGTGTGTGTGTACCTGTGTGTGTGTGAACGTGTGTGTACCTGTGTGTGTGTGTACGTGTGTTTACCTGTGTGTGTGTGTACCTGTGTGTGTACCTGTGTGTGTGTGTACCTGTGTGTGTACCTGTGTGTGTGTACCTGTGTGTGTGTGAACGTGTGTGTACCTGTGTGTGTGTACGTGTGTGTACCTGTGTGTGTACCTGTGTGTACCTGTGTGTGTACCTGTGTGTGTGTACCTGTGTGTGTGTGTACCTGTGTGTGTGTGTACCTGTGTGTGTGTACCTGTGTGTGTACCTGTGTGTGTGTGTACGTGTGTGTGTATCTGTGTGTGTACCTGTGTGTGTGTGTACATGTGTGTGTGTGTACCTGTGTGTGTGTGTACGTGCGTGTACCTGTGTGTGTGTGTACCTGTGTGTGTGTGTGCCTGTGTGTGTGTACCTGTGTGTGTACCTGTGTGTGTACATGTGTGTGTGTACCTGTGTGTGTGTGTACGTGCGTGTACCTGTGTGTGCGTGTACCTGTGTGTGCGTGTACCTGTGTGTGTGTGTACCTGTGTGTGTGTGTACCTATGTGTGTGTGTGTACCTGTGTGTACCTGTGCGTGTACTTGTGTGTGTGTGTACCTGTGTGCGTGTACCTGTGTGTGTGTGTGTGTACCTGTGTGTACGTGCGTGTACCTGTGTGTGTGTGTACCTGTGCGTGTGTGTGTGTACGTGCGTGTACCTGTGTGTACCTGTGTGTGTACCTGTGTGTGTGTGTACCTGTGTGTGTGTGTACCTGTGTGTGTGTGTACCTGTGTGTGTGTGTACCTGTGTGTGTGTGTGTGTACCTGTGTGTGTACCTGTGTGTGTGTACATGTGTGTGTGTGTACCTGTGTGTGTACCTGTGTGTGTGTGTACGTGTGTGTACCTGTGTGTGTGTGTGTGTACCTGTGTGTGTGTGTACCTGTGTGTGTGTGTACATGTGTGTGTGTGTACCTGTGTGTGTGTGTACCTGTGTGTGTGTGTACCTGTGTGTGTACCTGTGTGTGTGTGTGTGTACCTGTGTGTGTGTGTACCTGTGTGTGTGTGTACCTGTGTGTGTGTGTACCTGTGTGTGTGTGTACCTGTGTGTGTACCTGTGTGTGTGTGTGTACCTGTGTGTGTGTACCTGTGTGTGTGTGTACCTGTGTGTGTGTGTGTCCAGGCCAGCGTCTGCAGCTGCTCTGCCTCGCCTTCTTTGGCTACGACGTGTCCCGCGTGCCGCTCCTCTACTGGCTGGTGGACGGCTATTTCGTGGAGGACGTCTACAACGCCAGCGACGTGTGGGAACACCAAGCCAGGTGGGAGTGGGTGGGTGGGCGGGCGGGCGAGCGGGTGGGCGGGCGGGCGGGCGGGTGGGCAGGTGGGCGGGCGGGGCGGGCGGGTGGCGGGTGGGCGGGTGGGCGGGTGGGTGGGCGGGTGGGTGGGTGAGTGTACCTCCATACACGTCTGTGTGGTTAACAAGATGTATCGGGAGTGGTTATCACTGTGTGTGTCTCACTGTGTGTGTCTCACTGTGTGTGTGTGTCTCACTGTGTGTGTGTGTCTCACTGTGTGTGTCTCACAGGTGGGAGTGGGTGGGTGAGCGGGTAGGTGGGTGAGTGCGGTGTCTCGTATAATGGAAGAGCATTTCTGTGAAGTCCTGGGGGAGGGGAAATCCCTCGACATGGAAAACATTGTGGGACAAAGTGGGGATGACCCTGCTGAGGCTGCGGTGCCTCAAATATTGGAAGAGGTCGCCCCCTGTGAGTGGCTGGCTGAGGTGCCATCTGTTGAGGAAGTACTGAAGGCGATCCAGAGTCTGAGACCAGGAAAGGCACCGGGCAGAGATAATCTCCCAAGCGAAATACTGAGGGAGGGTGGCGTTTGTGCACAGACTGCCCTACATGACATCATAACAACAGTCTGGACCACTGGATGGGTTCTGCAGGATTGGAAGGATGCCCTGGTGGTCCCCCTCTTTAAGAAGGGGGACCGCACAGACTGTAACAACTACTGGGGCATCTCACTCCTCAGTGTGCCGGGAAAGGTCCTGGCAAGGATTATTCAACATCGCCTTGCTAGGCACGCTGAGGAGAGGCTTGCGGAGCCCCAATGCAGTTTCAGAAAAGGGCGGTCCTGCACAGATGCCATATTTTCTGTCTGTCTGCTATAGCAGAGGTGTAGGGAATTTCAACAAGACCTTCATCTCTGCTTTATTGACCTGGTCAAGGCCTATGATACCATCAGTAGGCCTGGGCTCTGGGTTGTTCTTCGTGTTTTCGGAGTCCCTAAACCTCTATTCACCATCATTAAGGACCTTCATGAAGGTGAGCGGGCCCAGGTAAAACTACGTGGCCGGGAGTCAGAGGCATTCCCTGTACACCTCAGGGTGTGACAGGGATGTCCTCTGGCTCCCACATTATTTAACATCCATTTTGACCACGTAGTTCGTGAAGCCTTCAATAGCTGTACCGGGGGAATTTCCATTTGGTACAGATATAATGGGAGGCTGATCGATGCCTGGGTGCGATCAAGGGATGGCTCCCTATTGGTCAACCACGTTATGTATGCCGATGATTTGGTAATAGCTGCTCATTCAGAGGAGGAGTTGGAGACGCTGCTGCTGAGACTGGAGCGTGCCACTCAGAGGTGGGGCCTTACCATCAGCCCCACCAAAACTAAGCACCTGCCTGGGTATTTTGTACCATCGGACACTCCACCCACACAACTCCCAATCGGCGATGGGGCAGTAGTGGTGAGAGTGGAGAGTTTCCCATACCTGGGCAGTGTGCTTATGACCGGCTCCAGTTTAACAGCAGAGGTCTCACTCCGAATCAGTCGAGCGGCAATATCTTTTCATCGGTTGCGTAACGCTGTGTGGAAGCTACCTGGTCTGTCGCTCCGCACGAAGCTTCAGGTCTTCTCGGCCACAGTCATTCCCTCCCTTCTCTACGCTTGCGAGACGTGGACCCCCCTAATGGAGCATCTTCGCCGGTTGGAAACATTTAGGCTGGCCTGCCTACGATCCATCCTGGGTTTAACCAGGCTGGATTGTGTGAGGAGCTCACAAATCCCTGAAAGATCTGGTCAAAGTCCCATCGGTGAGCTCCTCCGGCAGGCAAGGCTGCGTTGGCTGGGTCATGTAGCCTGCATGCCTAGCCACCGCATGCCTAAACAGCTTTTGTTCGGCCGGATTGAGGGGGCTAAACGGGCGCGGCACGGGCTAGAGAAGAGATGGAGTGATGTGGTACAGGAGGACGTGGAGCTGAGTGGACTTGCCGATGACCGGTACCAGCGGTGTCAAGATCGGCCTCTGTGGAGGAGGCTCGTGAAGGACGCTACTGGGCAGTTGGAGGCAGTCGCCCTCCAACAACAACGGAGGGCGGAGGAGCGACGCTCAACAACGAGCGGAGTGCCGGGTGGCTAAAGCACAGAAAGTTGGCACAGTAGGGGGCACAGGTGGTGCATCAGCCACTCATCTCGGTCATCTCAGTCAGTCGACCCGTGGCACCCGCTGGGTCTGCCCCGTGACCTCCTGCCAGCGGGCGTTCGACACTTCACGTGGCCTCAAGGTGCACTTGGCCTGGCATAAGCGTCGTGGTGACGTCACCGCCACTTAGTGGCGAATGGCGGTTGTTGTTGTTGTTGTTGTCACTGTGTGTGTCACTGTGTGTGTGTGTTACTGTGTGTGTGTGTCACTGTGTGTGTCACTGTGTGTGTCACTGTGTGTGTGTCACTGTGTGTGTCACTGTGTGTGTGTCACTGTGTGTGTCACTGTGTGTGTGTGTCACAGGGTGGTGAACGAGTCGTACGGGGAGCGCTACGTGCAGCGCCTGCTGGAGTTCCGCAGCGTAACGGAGCTCCACCTGGGCCCCGAGTTCACCTGCGTCGCCCAGAACGCTTTCGGCTTCACAAACGCCTCCATCCTCATCGTGCGGAAGGGTGAGAGCTCCTCCTCACCACCATCACCACCATCACCACCATCACCACCATCACCACCACCATCATCACCACCACCATCATCATCATCATCACCACCACCACCATCGTCACCACCATCACCACCACCACCACCATCACCACCATCACCACCATCACCACCATCACCATCATCACCATCATCACCACCACCATCATCACCACCACCATCATCTCCACCACCATCATCACCACCATCATCACCACCATCACCATCATCACCACCATCACCATCATCTCCACCACCATCATCTCTAACACCACCATCATCACCACCATCACCACCATCATCACCACCATCTTCACCACCATCACCACCACCATCACCACCATCATCACCACCACCATCACCACCATCACCACCATCACCACCATCACCATCATCACCACCATCATCACCACCATTATCACCATCATCACCATCACCACCATCTTCACCACCATCACCACCACCATCACCACCATCATCACCACCACCATCACCACCATCACCACCATCACCACCATCACCATCATCACCACCGTGTGTGTATCTCTGTGTGTGTGTCTCTGTGTGTGTATCTCTGTGTGTATCTCTGTGTGTCTCTGTGTGTGTCTCTGTGTGTATCTCTGTGTGTATCTCTGTGTGTATCTCTGTGTGTATCTCTGTGTGTGTCTCTGCGTGTCTGTGTGTGTATCTCTGTGTGTGTCTCTGCGTGTCTGTGTGTGTATCTCTGTGTGTATCTCTGTGTGTATCTCTGTGTGTCTCTGTGTGTGTCTCTGTGTGTGTCTCTGTGTGTGTCTCTGTATGTGTATCTCTGTGTGTCTCTGTGTGTATCTCTGCGTGTCTCTGTGTGTATCTCTGCGTGTCTGTGCGTGTCTGTGTGTGTATCTCTGTGTGTATCTCTGTGTGTATCTCTGTGTGTATCTCTGCGTGTCTGTGTGTGTATCTCTGTGTGTATCTCTGCGTGTCTGTGTGTGTATCTCTGCGTGTCTGTGTGTGTATCTCTGCGTGTCTGTGTGTGTATCTCTGTGTGTATCTCTGCGTGTCTGTGTGTATCTATGTGTGTATCTCTGTGTGTCTGTGTGTGTCTCTGTGTGTATCTCTGCGTGTCTCTATGTGTATCTCTGTGTGTTTGTGTGTGTCTCTGCGTGTCTGTGTGTATCTCTGCGTGTCTCTGTGTGTGTCTCTGTGTGTGTCTCTGTGTGTCTCTCTGTGTGTGTATCTCTGTATCTCTGTGTGTATCTGTGTGTGTCTCTGCGTGTCTGTGTGTGTATCTCTGCATGTGTCTCTGTCTGTCTCTGCGTGTGTCTCTGTGTGTGTCTCTGTGTGTGTCTCTGTGTGTATCTGTGTGTGTCTCTGTGTGTGTCTCTGTGTGTATCTGTGTGTGTCTCTGCGTGTCTGTGTGTGTATCTCTGCGTGTGTCTCTGTGTGTGTGTCTGTGTGTGTCTCTGTGCGTGTGTATCTGTGTGTGTCTGTGTGTATCTCTGCGTGTCTGTGTGTGTATCTCTGCGTGTGTATCTCTGTGTGTCTCTGCGTGTCTCTGCGTGTGTCTCTGTGTGTATCTGTGTGTGTGTCTCTGTGTGTATCTGTGTGTGTGTCTCTGCGTGTCTGTGTGTGTATCTCTGCGTGTGTATCTCTGTGTGTCTCTGCGTGTTTCTGCGTGTGTCTCTGTGTGTATCTGTGTGTGTGTCTCTGTGTGTATCTGTGTGTGTGTCTCTGTGTGTATCTGTGTGTGTGTCTCTGCGTGTCTGTGTGTGTATCTCTGCGTGTGTCTCTGTGTGTGTGTCTGTGTGTGTCTGTGTGTGTGTGTCTCTGTGTGTATCTGTGTGTGTCTCTGCGTGTCTGTGTGTGTATCTCTGCGTGTGTCTGTGTGTGTGTGTCTGTGTGTGTCTGTGTGTGTGTGTCTCTGTGTGTATCTGTGTGTGTGTCTCTGCGTGTCTGTGTGTGTATCTCTGCGTGTGTATCTCTGTGTGTCTCTGTGTGTCTCTGTGTGTGTGTATCTCTGTATCTCTGTGTGTATCATTGTGTGTCTCTGCGTGTCTGTGTGTGTATCTCTGCATGTGTCTCTGTGTGTGTCTCTGTGTGTGTCTCTGTGTGTCTCTGCGTGTGTCTCTGTGTGTGTCTCTGTGTGTCTCTGCGTGTGTCTCTGTGTGTGTCTCTGTGTGTGTCTCTGTGTGTCTCTGTGTGTGTGTCTCTGTGTGTGTGTCTCTGTGTGTGTGTCTCTGCGTGTCTGTGTGTGTATCTCTGTGTGTGTATCTCTGTATCTCTGTGTGTCTCTGTGTGTCTCTGCGTGTCTCCGTGCGTGCAGAGCCTCCACCCAGCCACACGGCTGCTGTGGCTGGCTCCTTGCTGGGCTCCTTGGCGCTGCTTCTGCTGCTGGCCGGGCTGCTCTACGCTCGCCGCATCGACCTCCTCCTGTTCTACCGAGACCACCACCACCACCTGCACCCCAGCAGCAGCAACGCAGCAGGTGCGGTGTCTAGTGTGGGTGGGTGAGTGGGTGGGTGGGTGGGTGAGTGGGTGGATGGGTGGTGGGTGGGTGGGTGGGTGGGTGGGTGGGTGGGTGAGTGGGTGGGTGGGTGGGTGGGTGGGTGGGTGGTTGGGTGGGTGGGTGGGTGGGTGGGTGGGTGGGTGGTTGGGTGGGTGGGTGGGTGGTTGGGTGGGTGGGTGGGTGGTTGGGTGGGTGGGTGGGTGGTTGGGTGGGTGGGTGGGTGGGTGGTTGGGTGGGTGGGTGGGTGGTTGGGTGGGTGGGTGGGTGGGTGGGTGAGTGGGTGGGTGGGTGGGTGGGTGGGTGGGTGGGTGGGTGGGTGAGTGGGTGGGTGAGTGGGTGGGTGGGTGGGTGGTTGGGTGGGTGGTTGGGTGGGTGGGTGGGTGGGTGGGTGGGTGGGTGGGTGGGTGAGTGGGTGGGTGGGTGAGTGAGTGGGTGGGTGAGTGAGTGGGTGGGCGGGTCGGTGGGTGGGTGGGGTGGTTGGGTGGGTGGGTGGGTGAGTGGGTGGGTGAGTGGGTGAGTGGGTGGGTGGGTGGGTGGGTGAGTGGGTGGGTGAGTGGGTGGGTGGGTGAGTGGGTGGGTGAGTGGGTGAGTGGGTGGGTGAGTGGGTGGGTGGGTGAGTGGGTGGGTGGTTGGGTTAGTGGGTGGGTGGTTGGGTTGGTGGGTGGGTGGTTGGGTGGGTGGGTGGGTGAGTGGGTGGGTGGGTGGGTAGGTGAGTGGGTGGGTGGGTGAGTGGGTGTGTGGTTGGGTGAGTGGGTGGGTGGGTGGGTGGGTGGGTGGTTGGGTGGTTGGGTGGGTGGTTGGGTGGGTGGGTGAGTGGGTGGGTGGGTGGGTGGGTGAGTGGGTGGGTGGGTGGGTGGGTGGGTGGGTGGGTGGATGGGTGGATAAGTGGGTGGGTGGGTGGATAAGTGGGTGGGTGGGTGGATAGTGGGTGGGTGGGTGGGTGGGTGGGTGGGTGGATGGGTGGGTGAGTGGGTGGGTGGGTGGGTGGTTGGGTGGGTGGTTGGGTGGGTGGGTGGGTGGGTGGGTGGGTGGTTGGGTGGGTGGTTGGGTGGGTGGATGGGTCGGTGGGTGGGTGGGTGAGTGGGTGGGTGGATGGGTGAGTGGGTGGGTGGGTGATTGGGTGGATGGGTGGGTGGGTGAGTGGGTGGGTGGGTGGGTGAGTAATGGGGCTGTTGCCACTCTACCTCCGTGCCCCTGTGTCTCCCCCCTCCCGTGTCCCCACCCCGTGTCTCCCTGCGTCTCCCCGCGTGTCCCCGTGTCTCCCCGTGTCTCCCCGCGTCTCCCCGCGTCTCCCCGCGTCTCCCCGTGTCTCCCCGCGTCTCCCCGCGTGTCCCCGTGTCTCCCCGTGTCTCCCCGCGTGTCCCCGCGTGTCCCCGCGTGTCCCCGCTGTGCGCAGACGGCAAGGAGTACGACGCGTACGTGTCGTTCTGCACGGAGTGCCCCTCGCCGGGCGAGGAGGAGTTTGCCCTGAAGCTGCTGCCCCAGGTGCTGGAGGGGGAGCTGGGGTACCGCCTGTGTCTGCTGGACAGAGACATCCTGCCCGGCGGAGGTGGGGGACCAGCACCAGCACCAGCACCACTACACAACACCACCACCACCACTACACAGCACCACCACCACTACCACCACCACTACCACCACCACTACACAGCACCACCACCACTACCACCACTACTACCACTACACACCACCACTACCACTACACAGCACCACCACCACCATCACTACCACCACACACCACCACACAGCACCACCACCACCACCACTACACAACACCACCACACACCACCACATACCACCACACAGTACCACCACCACTACCACTACACAACACCACCACCACCACTACCACCACCACCACCACCACTACACAACACCACCACCACACACCACCACTACACACCACCACCACCACACACCACCACACAGCACCACCACTACACAACACCACCACCACACAGCACCACTACCACTACACCACCACCACCACCACCACTACACTCCACCACCACCACACACCACCACACAGCACCACCACTACACAACACCACCACCACCACCACCACACACACAACACCACCACCACTACCACCACTACCACCACCACCACACAGCACCACCACCCTCCCTCACCCCCCCCTCCTGTTGTATATGTCGGATTATGAAATTTTGATGAAAATAAAAAAAAAATAAGAAAAAGTAAAAATGTGTAATTCGCCTAAATTATGCTAATGAATATAATTATATGCATACATTATTATTATAATCACGGAGATAATTGTATTACATTATGCAGATGCTTGCGATTATGTTAATGTGTGCAGTTATGATAATTAGGCTTAGCTTCGTTATCCAGAGTTGTATCAATCAGGATAAAACGATTATCTTTGATTAAACATTTATTGTTTAAGTTATGTTAGGTCTCCAAGTTCATATCTCATCGCAGGATACAGTTCTTATAAATAAGAGTTTTGCATGGACTTGAAAAGAAACACTCAAATGCTTTTGTTAAGCAATTTTAATTCTAAACAAACATATGACACTCTAATATGGAAAGGCGAAAGTATACGTCATTAGATTCATCGGCAAGATTATGCAATTAACGAAAATTAATGACTAAAACATTCTTATTCATGTAACTCGACGGCAGCAACTGCTTTGCACGATCAGTTGATATTGAACGCACCACCTTGAAATGGCAACCCTTTCCGAAACACAAAGATAACTTTTTGAAATAGTCTTCTTCGTGTGCGTGTTGCGTGTGCGTTGTATTGTTCCCTTGATAATGAATGTTTTAAGCAGAGGCAGGGCGCTGTGTGGGGGAGGGGGGTACAACCAGCGGCCAGAGAGGTTCCTCTCGCCTGGGCGTAGCCGCAGCGAGCCCGTAGCCGGCTTCTCTCTCTCTCTCCGCAGCTGGATTGAGCGGCGTTGGCACGACGCTCGCCGTCGTGGCGCGATGATTCCGTCGTCCACTGCTGGACGTCTTGTCTGTTGTCAGCGGTGCTGGTCGATGTGTGTGTGTGTATCAAACACACGGCGCATTCGATGGCGCTCTCCTCTTCTTCACGGGTGGCTGATCAGGCTTTTTCGCCTGTTGGATGACGGGTCGACACG